TAAAGTTCATACAGGTGGTGAAACCGTGGTTGTTACAGGTCAAGCACAGACAGGTATTTGCCAGCGTCTGCCACGCTTCGATACAAATGTGTGTCAGTGCTGGCTTGTGGTGCTTCCTCTAGTCCGCTCTCATGTGCTGGCTGCAGTCCGGGTGAATTGTCCAGTTCTGCAAGATGAGCTAATGAAGTCTGGGATAAACCAGCTTCCATCTTTCAGTGGTGAGTCTCTGGCAGTTAAAAGCTGAACTCCTTTTTACAGGGCCTTATACCATCTGGGTGTTTTCTACTTTTAATTTTTGGATATTCAACCTGTAACTTGTCATTCTTGCAAAGCTTTTCTGGTATATGTCATGAACGTCTGTAAACTGTACGTGTTCTTTTACAGATTGGCAATAGTGAGTATGTCAAAGTCTTATGAGTAATAGTGATCGTACGTGGCATGGAAATAACTTCTAAGCCTAGATGTAAATGTCTTTTTCTAAAATTGACACGCTTTCCAAGATGAGATCTCAAACTTTCTTAAATTTGAGAAGTTTGGTTGGTTGGTTTTTTTCTCCAGTATTAACATGCATGGCTAAAAGAGGGTTGAGTTAATAGCAGTGCATGCTGGTGTGCTAGTACTGAGACATCTTAGCGCTTTTGGAAAGATAGTAAAGAAGGACTGGAATCATTCAAGGAATTTAATGGAAATTATTTTCCCATTAAATTTTAAACAACAACAAAAAATAGCATTAGGATGTATGTAATGGGAACACAGCAATAATTACCAGATCATTTCTTTATTAAAACATTAGCATATTTGCTTGCAAGCAGGCTGAGTAAACTAGTATTCATGATGTATTTAGATTTTTTTAGGACTCTCCATGGTTTTTGTAATGAAATTATCAGCTTATTGACTAAGCAGTCATATTTGCCTTTTTATTACGTGTGTAAAAACTGAGTTCTCTTTGGCACATGATTTTTGAAGAAATGTACATTTCTTGACAGGTGTATTTAGTCTGAAATGCTAATATGTTTTTAACTGCTTTTTAAACTATGCAGTAGTGCAATCTATCTAAAGGTGGAACAAATTTCTTAAGCTTTTTTTACTCTTACTTTTGATAGGAAACACAAATAACCCCCTTAAACATAAAGTGATTCCCTTCCTGTGCAGACTTTAAAATAAGTAGGAAGTATTATAATATTTATTTTACCTGCTCACATAATAGCATTTGTTTTAAATTTCTTTTGCACTATGTCATGCTGGGAAATGTAAATCAGGTGACAGATTTTGATCCTAACTCTGTGGGGTACTCTCAGACTACTTTGCATATATCAAAAGAAGTGCACTGTGGCAGCTGAAGCTGAGCAGTCTCATCAGTCGTGATTGCAATAGCAATCTCAATACAATTTTTCCATTACCGGTAAAACTTGTTCATTAGTGCACATTCTACAGATTCTTCGTAAAAAGTGAATCATCAAGACCTATTACTGTCACGGGTAGAATTGCCGTGGGGTGAATGCAGGAGCAATACTACTAGAAAAAGATCAGATGAGTCTCAGCTTCTGTGCAAGTCTGTTTAAAAAGAAAATAATATGAAAAGTGTGGCGGTCCTGCCACTCGGCTATGTGCTTCAAATAAGCCGAAGAATTCTGCCTTCACTGCTTTATCATGCTTTAATAAAAGCCAGTGCTGATGATCCTGTGTGCTAATTGGTATTTAACAAGCTAGTAGAGGTATGTTTTGGACCAGTGTTACAGAATGGGACAAATAAGAAACATTTGTTTCTTATCTATGTTTCTACTTTCCATTTAGTTACCTTAGTCTACCTTTTATCCTTTTCCCGTGGCTTGTGTTCCTCTTGGCCAAAATAACCTTTATTTTCCTGTTGTGCACTTCTTCCTTCCTCCGTGTGCTCTGTCATTCCCACCTGCTATTGTTTTTCCTCTCCACCTTCCTGGTTTTGTATTTCTTTGTATTTTCAAAAGCAAAAAATGTCTGTATGATGAGGACCTCCCAGTGTCCATCTCTTCTTTGCAAACATACAGAAAACGATGTTAAACGCTGCTTCCCAACCCGTGTTTATCATTGTCGAGACTGACTGAAGTGGGATCTGTGACCGAGGGGGGACTTACTGTTACAGCAAAGCCCATCTAATAGCTGGCTTTGCTAAAAAGTGCCTTTACCCGTCCTGCCAACCGTCCAGTGTTGTCACTGGTTTTGTCCCAATGCTTAGCTGACCTGTGGTGACCTGCAGCAGGGAGCTTACTTGGTAGACAACCAGCTTTGCTAAAAAAGCTGTTAGTTTTGGGCCATTATAGTTTCCCGAGCTTGGTATCCATAGGATTAGACAACCGTGCATTGGGAATGTAATCTCACCCTTTAACCAGCTGCTGCTTTGGGTTAGCAGTTCTGTCAAAGCCTTCCTTAACTTCATTAGTATAGCTCTGGTCTTATTTTAGTGCCCTGCCCACATCTCGAGTCAGCAAAAAGAGTGGGTTGAATTTTTTATATTTTATATACTTGCACTAGAACTTCTACCTGTATATAGACATACACACACTCAAAAAGAAAAAAAAGGCAAGCAAGCTTCTTAACAGAATAACTGGGTCCAAGAACATGAAGCATGACTAGAACCAAAGATACAGCCTTTCATTTCAGTCTTGTTTGTAGCTAATTTTGAGGCCCTTAAAGTAGCATGCTTCACAGTGATAGACGTGACAGGTTTCAGCAAATATTTTTCTTGAATTTATTTTCAGTATTTGATTTAATTTGTCTCTTATTAAAAGATGGCAAATGAGTATGCATTATTATTATTTTTCAAAATATTATCTAAAATACTTTCAAAACCAAGATGTGATTTCATTGTGTAAATTAGACTTAAAACTGCCTTGGAATTAAGCATAAAGTTTTTGTGTCAAGGTAATCATTAAGGGATCAAGACCCATCCGCAATCCAAGCTGTAGCCTGGTAAGGGGAGTGACAGTAGTGTCAGCAGTTAATGTAATCATGCCCTCTGACTGTTGTGATATAACACTGTTTAGCTGTAATTTTAATTTCCTATACAGAGCGGTACAGAGTTATAGCCAAGAGATCAGCTGACCAGAGCAGATGAAGGAATTGAAGCAGGTCAGCAGAATGCGTGGCTGTCATTGCCGTAACAGTTGTCTTCAGCTTTGATTTCACAACTTGAAAGAAGTGGAAGAATGTTGTACCAGGTTTGGAGGAGAGACTTTTGAGTGTTATAGCTTCTATGAATATTTCACTAGACAGGGAAACAAATTTAGGCAAGAGGATTCTGACAGCCCTAGATTTTTGAGGTACATGAGGAACGATCAATCATGCTGAAATCTTGTTGTGAGGAATTGTGATGGGAAGAGAAATCTGTACAGAGGTAAGTGATGCTATTAATCAACAACAAAAAGAGCTGTCTGCGTGCTGGAAAAGGGTCAGAAACCTGGAGTGGTAAGGAAAGTTTTACTGGGAGTTGCATGCAGCTTTTCAAAAGGACTTGAGTAATGGTCTTGAAAACGGGGAGTCGTTCCAGATGGTGGCTGATGCCCAGTGATGCTGAGGAGATAAGGGGCAGCAGCTAAAAATCCTGAAAAGATACTTCTTGGTGTTGGATTCTCCTTCTTTAAACTACTGATTTTATTTTGCTAGTGGTTTTCTTCTTCAGCACCTTTGAGAGCTTCTTCCTTCATCTAGGATAGTCTGTGGTTTGCAGGCTCTATTAATTAGAAGGCAGCAGGAGTTTAACCATAGTAATGAAAGTGCAGTACTGCAGATTACTTTTCAACGAAAGCTGAGCCTTGGCAGAGACCAGCTAGGATATACCTTCTGTATGTGAAAATTAGATGGGTCTTCAGACTTAAACTGTCGGTTAGGGACCAGTTAAGCGATGTCACGTATATCCATTTCACTGCATTCCTTCTGGTGAGGCATATGTAGATTGCATAAAGTATGTTGTGCTGTGTTTAAAAACCACAGTCTTTGCTTTTGTTCAGATCTTGAGCACACACAAGTCTCAATGTCAGGGCTGTTAAAGTAATTAAAATTCATATTATAATTTCTTTATATGAAGTCCTAGCCAAGGTGACTCAGGAAAAAGTCCACGTGTAATGTGCATTTACACATGTCAATGTAAAGCGTCATTTGCCATTAAACTCTTCTTTGAAAGAAGAACGGATGTAGCTATGGCAAAATATTGACAAAAATAACCATAAGTGTTGGCAGAGTAACTCTTGATGTAGTTTGGATATTGGTTACCAAGAATCTTTCTGTAGTGTAGACAAGTCTCCCCTATTCATTCATATCTTCAGTTTATTTCAGCTAGAGATTGGCTGTAGATGGGGAAGGGAGGGCTTTGAGACATGCTTTCCTCCCTTTTCTCTTGCTAGTTGCTCTGTTCTGGGACAGTAGTGGAAGTGCTTTAGATAGTCCCTGGCATTTCATTTGTGCAAATACAAAATACAGCAGGTACGTGCTGTGAACACCCTCAGCCAAACAGCTGAGGTATCTTAAACTTGTCTGCCAATGAATCACAGTATAGTTCGGGAAGATCTGTTAGAGGTGAGTCTCTCTTTAAAAGTTTGGAGTTGTGGGAGTTATTTTTTGCATTTCTTCTCTTTAGTTTTGTGTCTTGAGAGTATTATAGATCATGTCTTCCAGTGAGTTGTCACTTATTCTCTAGAACCTACGAAATACTTAGCAGTAAGGAATGCTGTTATTCTATCCAGCTCAGGCATCATCAGTTGTTTTATTAGCAAAGTTCTTGTATTTGGCCTGATAAAAAGAAAAACTTTCAGTTGTTATCTGTCTGCTGGGTGCTTCAGACAATATGGAAAACGTGGTTGATGAATTAATTCCTTAAAATGAGACCTCTGCTTGGGTTCAGTCTACGTTAATAGATTTTTTTAACATAATTTTGCATAATGTTTGAATGATCTTGCATTGTTAGTTTTAAAAGTCTTGCAGGGCTTTCAGGAAATCACCAGAATCGCTCTTTCTGTATACTTGTAGAAAGAAAACATTTAATCTGAGACATCATCTTTCAGATACGTGTTTTGCAGACTAAATTCCGTTGGAAACTGTACCTTTTTGGCTTCTTGAAGAGCATTGAAGACTAATATCTGGAGGCAATACTGGCCTTTTTTTCTTGTTCAGAACCTCTGTTGTCTTTTGGGTTTTGGTTTCCTTTGGACTGTGTATCGCTAAATTCTTGCCTACTTATTTTGCACAGCTTACAGCTGTTGGGACTAACACATTTTTCTGCTTCTAATGCATTTGAAAGGAATATTTGTCATTTGTTAAGTCCCTTTGATCAAAGTAGTGATGAATTTGTGTTTTCATTATGCTCCAGATTAAGACTTTTAAACTCTACAAATAGAGTAATAAACACACTTAAGTGATTGTATACTCCTGGAGTATAGCTTAAGCTTTATTACAGAGTTGATTACACTTACTGTTGTTTTTATACTTGGACAAAACTGGGGTTTTCTTGCTTTTTGAGTGAATTATGCTTTTGTATATGCAATGAGAAAACAGGGTCATGCTAAAACACCCTTAGGTCAACCTTCAAAGGATACAGTTCTGTAAATATCATCCTTTTGTCACAGGATTTCTACTTTCTACTACTAGGAGCTTTTACTCCTACAGCTTGAACATGCAGAAATAACTTAGCTACCTCTCTGTGTCTTTAGCAAAGATAATTTTGGTGCATTTTATTTCCCTTTTTGTGCAACTGTTTTAGGTAGTATTCAAAGAATTGTTTTGAGTGGCTTAATGTTTGTTTGCTTTCTCAGAAATACTGTCCCAGATTCAAGTGGCTTCCAGAATCAAGAGCTAGCAAAACCTCACTGTGTAACTGTGTGTGTGTCCGGGGGAAGCACTGGATTTTTCTTGTGTCTCTTAGTAAAAAGAGGATTAATGTGAAACTGGTATTATCGGTACAACTGCAGGTGCTAAGGTGGGCATTGCTGCCATTTAAGGGCCTGGATCTTTTTTGATGTAATCCTGACCTCACTTCAGAGGTGGAATATTTAGAGTTTAACTTTCTCATGGTTTTGAGGAGATTGGAGCATAACATATGGCAAAGGTTTTTTTTTTTCTTAGCTGCCGGTGTGTGTGGAGCAAAGAAAGATATGTAAATAAATGTATGCAGTCAATTTGATATGCTTGACTATTTCCCTTTTTTCCTCCAGTTGGTAACTGTCATCTCAGATACAACTCCTTCGTGTGTGAGGGTCAGAGAATGAGTAAGAGCCTGTTAATAGAGGACAGTGGGAGTTGTAAAGAAGGAAAGACAGGAATAGAGTCTGAGCATTTTTCTGTTCAGCTTTGGCAGTTCTGTAAAATGGAGCAAAGGATGAAAATTTTGATGCTGGCATTTGCTCTGGACAGTTCTGATAGATTGAGTTGGATGATAGTAAATAGCCAGCTGGGAAGGGGTGGATCCCGAGTGGTTCCCAAGTGGTTTCCTCACAGACTTGAGGGTCTGAGATTCTGTGGAATGGTGTGATGTGCTAGCTGTAAATTTACCAACAAGGAGTATCGTGTCTTTGTGGCTGAACACAAGCCTATGCGTTTACTGTGCAAGGGTCCTTCCTAGTGTAACTGTTGAGGATGGAGAAAAGTGGAAGTTCACTTAGATGGCTTGCTGTGTTCACAAAGAACATGATTTTCTAGAATTGTTAAAGCTAAATCCTGACTATTCAAAATAAAGTTAGTGTGAATGTATCAGGTGAGGCAGTGTAGACTTTAAGGGAGTTACCTGCTATACTTGTTATCTTCTGTTTTTTCAATGGGTGTAGGAATGTACCAGACAAGGGAAGGTTTTTTGCTTCTATGGCTAGTACAGAATATTATAAAACTTTTTTCCTTTTCTTTTTTTTTTTTTCCCCCCCCTCCCCACTCTAGAGTGAAGCTTCTAAGCAGAAAGTTGAGGTGTGGATATACAACACACTGGCTGTTCTGTGCAGGCTTCATCACTGATTATGCAGAATACTTGATGTTTCTTCATATTAGCTTTCAAAATAGTGTTCCTTGCACTTGAGTGTTACTGGTATCCATGTGGAGGGTTAACAGTAAGCGTAAGCAGTGTGCCTGTTGTGTGGCAGCTAGCTTGTACAATCTGCAGAAAACAGATTTTGATTCTTTTACATAAGATCTCTGAATTTGTTTTTCCCTTTATGTGCCTATATAATTATTTTTTATTTATTTATTTTAAGGATTGGACCTATCCCATGAGGAGAGAGATGCAGGTATGACATGTTTTCATTTACCATTTGAGTCTAAACTCATGGTACGTTCAGTAAGAAGTGCCCTACAAAAGAGCTGGTATCAAAATCAGTCTTTGGGGTGAAGTGTCAGGCAGCACCATGGGAGAGGTGTGCAAGGATTGCCAGCTTAGAGTGCTGGTGTGCTTGGGTCTCAGTTATACACATATAAAATAAAAAAGGCAATTTTATTTTTTTCTTCAGAATCCCCAAAATATTCTATTTTTGTTTTCATGAATGCTTTTAGGAGATAGTTGCAAGTAGGAGCTCTGAACAATTAAAATTTTCCTACCATGACGTCTGCCAAATCTTTGCACAAGATCTACAGACCTACATGTCTTTATTGGTGGGGAGATAAATGGTTAAAAATTGATATTTTCCTACTACTGGGACAAAGCTAGAAGATTTACCATGCATGTATCTCCCCCCCCCCCCGAAAGCGATTTGGAATTAATTACAAGACACGGTTGTATACAAAGTTAGAGCTCCTTTCATTTGATCTGGGGGTGGGTAAGATGTGTGGAACTTAGTCCAAATAAAGGACTTGATTCCTGTTCCAAAACAAGATCTCCTGCACCAAGATCATGTTTCTTTTATTTTGCCAAACCGATTTTTTTCCCCCCTTGTCCTATTATAAATGACACTTGATAGCACGTCTGTCACTAATATCTAAGTGACTTGCTTCTGTGGCCATAGTTTGAGTTGAGTGCAATGTATTATTTCAAATAATTTTGAGTTGGTATTAAATGTCTGTTTTTCTGCCCCCCTAGGAAATTTTACCTGGGTTATTTTTAGGCCCGTATTCTTCAGCTATGAAAAGCAAGGTATGATTTTCAGAACGGTGTCTCATAAGGAAACTTTGCTGTGGTGATCTGTTACTGTGGCGATATGTTCAAGTGTTATCTATATAGGTGTGAATTTGGTTGCAATCCTGAACTGGAACGTGAAAGATGCCAGAGTATAAGTTCATGGTTCATTTATGGGCTGGTCCTTTTAGCCTGCAGGATTCTCTGAGCTAAAGGGTTGCTTCAGGAGAAAAAAATGTAAGAGACCCCTGACTGATTTTCACGTGGCTTGAAGTTCTGCATGCGTTTATACGCACACGTACGTGTGTGCTCTCTCAATCCAGTTGCTCAGCTTTACCTGCTCCTTAGAAACCAGAGAAAAACACAAGTCTGAAGTGATTTGCACACTAATTGCAGTGAGCATTCATATGTGAGCTTTTTGTATTAAAGTTGAGTCTTGTATAATGTATTAATCTTGAATATATTTTTTTTCTTAGAAAAAGGTAAAACATTTGAAATTTGCACATTGCCAATCGGGCAATCTATTTCCTTTTTTAAAGTGTTGCAGTACAGGTCAGAACTGTGAACTCGTACATATGCAATAAAATAAGGTAAACTGCATCTACGGTAGAGTACTGCTAAGGAAAAGCTAGTATCTGCAAGTTTACCTTGTAGTTTAAATGATCTTTCAATGGTCTGATTCCAGCAAGAATCCAATGCTAGCTGTAAATTACTACGTCATGTAGGGACTTGCACTTTCAGGTGAAGTGAAAGGTGGGCAGAGAGAAACAAGTTCACTGAATGCTTTCTTTATTGCCTATTCTGTTTATCATTGTCAGGAATGCTTTTTCTTTTAGCTCCTAATGGTTGCGTTTTATCTTTTTGAAAGACAAGATTCTTCACACTATGCTTTGAATATTAGAAAACGAGCTCTGATTTTCCTTGAGGACATGTTATAGCCCTATTGTGTATTTAAGTATAGCTTTTCTTTTTATTGCTCTGCAATAGATCAATTCAGTAATTTAAAAAAAAAAATCCGTGTGTTTTTTCTTTTTCCACAGCTACCTATACTTCAGAAACATGGCATAACCCATGTAATATGCATACGGCAAAACATTGAAGCAAATTTTATTAAACCAAACTTCCAACAGTTATTTAGGTAAGAAATTATCATAATATGCAGAACTGCAAACAATGAAAGATCTCGCTTTTAAACACCTTATTCTATATTAATGAAATTTTTTTTTGTTAGTGTTGTTTCCAAATATTTTCACATTGTAAAGACTATTTGAAAAAATGTGCTAAGGTGTAGGAAGACTCTTAAATCCAAACCATAAAGCGTATTCATCCTGCTAAACTGTAGCCATAGACAAGTCCGTAAATGAGAAGTATCTGTTAGTTCGCAGTAACTGTTTTCAGTTTTATTGTTGTTAGTTCTGAGTGCAGTTTGTCCTGCTAATAAAATATTTGAGGTAATTTGATCAGAATGTGTGTGTCTCTGGAAAAAAGTTGTGTAGAGCCCCAGGAATGAACACTGGCCTGTATTTACAAACTGATGGGGAGTGTGTGAGTGTGTAGTACGCTGCTTTCAGGCACACTTGAGTCACTTGCAGCATCACACTTGTGAATCTCTTCACTCTGAGAGGTGATTTTGTCGTGGGATGCTGGAGAAGGTTCCTTGCTGGCTTCCTCACAAGGACAGCTCCAGAGGTCACTTGTTTGTAGAAGTTCTGGATCTCAGACCAGAAAGTAAAGCCAGGAGGGTGGTGCTGGCTTCCTTCGGCAGGTTTGAGTATTGTAGCGTGGTTGAATCAGCTGTGCATGTACAGGTGGCAGCGACTTGGTGGTGTTGTGTACTCATAGCAACTGTTTTCATTGTAGGTATTTAGTCTTGGATATTGCAGATAATCCAGTTGAGAATATAATACGATTTTTCCCTATGGTAAGTATTTGTGCATTAATGTGAATGGATTGGGAATGGAGTTGCCCGGTAGAGTTTTCTGAGCTAACAGATACCAGTTTCAAATTTGAGGTATCCAGCCTGAGGCACCTGGAAGGGCTGCGAACTCTTAAGTGACTTTTTTATTGCCACTTCAGTAAGTGTAATTAACTCCTTTTTACAAGTATAAGAACTGAGGCAGAGTTGTAAGAGCTGTATCTTATTATGGTCTCAAAAAAAAAAAAAAAGGCTGGTCTCAAAACTAAGAAATCAAGTAATGGCAGAATGCTAGTGTTTGGGAGAATTCTGGAGAACTTGGCCTGTAGGAAACTTACTTTTTGAGCCCAAGACTATTTACATCGCTTGTATCAAATACTAAAACAAATTCAACAGAAAATAGTAATTAGCTGGTCTAACTAATTCCCCTACAGTAAACATGGTTCAAGACACTGTAAAACTTAAAAAGTAACTTTAAGTGAAACAGTACCCATTACATACTGACACTTGCAAATAGAATAAACCCTTAGTTTCCAGCTATGGTTTTGTTTCTTTATTTAGGTTAGTTTGCAACAGAGCAAAAGCATTTTGTTCCTTGCTTGCTCCCCTGCCCCCCCAAAAAATGCCAAACCATCAAAAAGCTCTTGTGGCTTCCCTCTGTATGGCAGAGGTGGTCGTGGTTTTGCAGAACAAGACAGCAAATCAGTTGATGGCTTGCTGCTTTTCTAAACTATAATGCTGTTTGATCAAATAACATGCTTTGCAAATCTCAGTTACTGACAGCTTAGTACCTCTGTGTTGGTATATTTTTAAGAGCCCAGTCTGAGTTTTCCCCACAATAAATTATTTTGCTTTTCATCTAATCGGCTGTTTCAACCTGGCAGTATTCTACAGACTTGACTACATCACATCTCGCCTTATAGGTTGATTGGACATACTTTTATAACTGAAAATATCGCTGGAGCTTTTCTAGGAAGACACAAGTGTCAGCAGAGAGATCCAGGCCATATTGTTGTTGATGTGGCATAACATGCGATGTAATGATTGTAAAAGGCAGGCATGTATACTAGATTTTTATGCATTTTGTTTTTCATTGACAATTTTATGGATGATTAAAAGTACAAAAGAAATACAAAAGGTCCAGTTGAAGTGGTGTCTAAGTCTGTATAAACAGAGTACATTACTGTCACTGTATATAGAGAGTGATACAAAAATTCTGCCACATTTAAATGCAAGTAGCAGCAACATCTAAATTAATCTGAAATCTTGAGTCTTGTCATTTTTTTCTTTTTAGACTAAAGAATTTATTGATGGAAGTTTACAAAGTGGAGGTAAAATCATATTAACTTTCTCCATTTACTAATACATTGTTGTTAAAGCTTTAAAACTAAGTTAGCGGTAAGTATTAGAGGCTCTTAAGTATGAGGGTTTTCTTAAATTTGGGATTTTATTGTGCTTGACTTGAACTATATTATACAAGTTCAGAGCAAAGTGTTTATTTCTTTTGCCTCCGAGTGGAAAACAAACTTCTTTGTATATCTGAGGGGTTTTCCACTTTAAACACATCTGTGTTCTGCGCATGAGTTGAGATTTTGGTTTGGGTGGTTTTTGGTTTTTTTGGTCCCCTCTCTAATGAAGGCCCTTAAATCTGCATTGTGGTCCTGGAATGCAGTCTGTCACTCCAAATCCTCAGAGGAGCAGGAATCCATGCTTCTGTATCCCAGGGCAGTAATAAACAGTGTAATTAGTAATCTAGAGTGAAGACAGACACACCTATTATTTTTAGGATGTACCTTGCTACTGTGTAGTTTTCCATAATAAGGGAAAACTACACTTCAAAGAATTTTCTTCAGTCTATACAAGTACGGTTGTTTGTTTTTTCCTTTTCAGGAAAAGTTCTTGTCCATGGAAATGCAGGGATTTCTAGAAGGTAGGAAACTATCCATCCTGCTTATTAATTATTTTTAAACAATGGAAATATATTTTACTTTTTTTTTTTTCTTTACAGTGCTGCCTTAGTTATTGCATACATAATGGAAACATTTGGAGTGAAGTACAGGTAAGAATAGAGCGTGGTCATGAGAAGAGAAGGCTCCGGGGAGACCTTAGAGCCCCTTCCAGTCCCTGAAGGGGCTCCAGGAAAGCTGGAGAGGGACTGGTGACAAGGGCAGGGAGTGACAGGCCAAGGGGAATGGCCTGAAGCTGCAGGAGGGGAGATGGAGATGGGATGTGAGGCAGAAATCCTTCCCTGTGAGGGTGCTGAGGCCCTGGCACAGGGTGCCCAGAGAAGCTGGGGCTGCCCCTGGCTCCCTGGCAGTGTTCAAGGCCAGGTTGGATGGGGCTTTGGGCAACCTGGGCTAGTGGAGGGTGTCCCTGCCCATGGCAGGGGGGTGGGACTGGATGGGCTTTGAGATCCCTTCCCACCCAAACCAGTCTGGGACTCTATGAAGGGAATCATAATTTTGGAGGGGAACATAAACAGCCGTGTATAGACAAGTAAGCCAGTTGTTACCTACTGCAACTGAGTGAAGACTTTACATGGGGCAGATTATTCCATTTCCCTTCACTGCAGCTTTGTTTACATCCTTTAAGAAGGGAGCTCATGGGAACAGGGTACCAGCTCTTCTGAAGCAGTGTGGTGAGAACAGGCCAGCAAGCTGAAGACTGGAGGTGGTGGTGGGCGAATCGTATGTTAAAACTACTGCTTCCTGTTGTACCCAAACGATTTCAGTTATACACTCCAGTTCTGAGGAGCATTTAGAGGTTGTATGCATCCAAAGAACGGATAATAGGAAGAAAGGCTCCTGAAACCACAGAGACTTTTGTCACAGGCTGTTTTCCACTGAAATATTTTCTCTCCCCTCTTGTTAAGGGATGCATTTACTTATGTTCAAGAAAGAAGATTCTGTATTAATCCTAATGCTGGATTTGTCCATCAACTTCAGGTGACTTTTTCTTTTTTTTTTTCTGATCATAACTCAAAAGCCATTTGATGAATCACTTTCCAGGAAAACAGCCATTTCTACTTAGGCTTAACATCTACTGTAGAAGTATGCTTCAAATAAATGTCAGAAGCCATAGTAGAGCTTGGGAGGAAAATGGGTGGGTACCCTAGTTACTTGACTTAAGCTTTAGATAAAGCAAATCCAGGAATGGAGGAGAAATAAAATTAATGTTTTGTGCAGTGACTAAGAGGCTCTGAAACAGCAGTATTGTGAAGTTGCTTTATCATATTCCAGGAGTCTATTGGGTGAATGGTGGGCAAACATCAGGACAACATGATGAAACAGATTTGCAATGTCTCTGCTGTTACTTAGGTGGCTGGCAGCAAGATAACTGAATATCCCCTGAGTTTGTTGTTGGGTTTTTGGGTTTTTTTTGTTTGGTTTGGGGTTTTCTTAAGGAACTCCTGTGAGGAGTTGTTGTGTAGCACTGAAAGCATGACAGGCAACTTCAAGGCCATGTATAGTTTATCCTTGCAACAAAGCTCTGAAGCTACTGTATTCTAAGTTTGGTTTGTTTCTGTCTGAATTGCCTTCTGGGGAGCAACAATGAGTTCTCTGAACATTCTCACAGAGCTTTTTTTAATGAAAGTTTACTCTCTTCAAGCCATTTCTTGTCATCCTTCAAGTTTTCTTTTGCTCTGTCTTCCTGACAATTTTGTTGTTCATGTCAAAGCAACAAAGAACTGTCCTCCTCTAAAATCTCTGCCTAATGATAAGATACTCTTTAGTCCCTCCTAGTGAACTCTGAATCAGTCCTTCTCATCCTTACAAAGTATTATGCCAAATTAATAGCAATATGTATTATTAAACTTTTTCAGGAATATGAAGCCATCTATCTAGCAAAATTAACCATCCAGATGATGTCACCACTGCAGTTGGAGAGATCCCTTGCGGTTCCACCTGGTACTACAGGTCAGAAGCCTCTCCTGTTGTGTGTGATGCTGCCTGTCTTACCCGCTGTTGCAAGGTGACTTTTGCACTCCTAGAGTAAACCACCAGCAGCAGTGAATCCCAAAATTTTGGGAAGGGGATGGCTGCGGTTGGTGTGCAATCTATGTTCAAACTTCAGCATGCAGCACCTAAATATTCTGTTCTCCTATGGTTGAACTTTCCTGTATTGTCTGCACTTCCATGACATACTGGAGAAGGGCCCTGCCTCTCCCTGTCCTCGAAAATCCCCCGAGTTCCTTAGAGGAATCAAGACTGACAGGTTGAAAGCAGCCAATGTTCATGACATAATTGCTGTCCTTAAAATTAAGGCAGTTGCTCATGGCAGGGCTACGAAGATGCTCAGAGGGCTGGAGCACCTCTGCTATGAGGACAGGCTGAGAGAGTTGGGGTTGTTCAGCCTGGAGAAGAGAAGGCTGCGGGGAGACCTTAGAGCCCCTTCCAGTCCCTGCAGGGGCTCCAGGAAAGCTGGAGAGGGACTGGTGACAAGGGCAGGGAGTGACAGGCCAAGGGGAATGGCCTGAAGCTGCAGGAGGGGAGATGGAGATGGGGTGTGAGGCAGAAATCCTTCCCTGTGAGGGTGCTGAGGCCCTGGCAGAGGTTGCCCAGAGAAGCTGTGGCTGCCCCTGGCTCCCTGGCAGTGTTCAAGGCCAGGTTGGATGGGGCTTTGGGCAGCCTGGGCTAGTGGAGGGTGTCCCTGCCCATGGCAGGGGGTTGGGACTGGATGGGCTTTGAGGTCCCTTCCCACCCAAACCATTCTATGAGTCTATGAAAAAGAAGTTTTGCTGTGCCTTTAAACAGATAATAGGTGATTAAGGCATCTAAAAAATCTTACCTTGATCATATAGAGGTTTAGCAACCCCTGCTAAAGGTCAGTGGAAATGGAGTTTGGGGGGAGATGTATAGGGAGTGTAAGAACTAGTGGATTTTAGGAAATTTCTCTTTTGTGTGGAGAAGTGTGAGGGAAGAAGAGGGCTGTTAGTGACTGGCTGAGTGTCTCCAAAGGGTAGAGTCCTTGCAGGAGACAACTGCCCTGTAGTCCTATCACAGCTGTGTATTGTTAGAGCTAGTTTTTCCCACTGTATCCTCATTCCTCTTGCCTTTTTCAGGAAGTTTAAAGCGAATGCATGAAGAGGACGAAGAACTCGGAACCATGCAAGTGGCAGCAGCACAGAATGGATGATATCTGAGGACAAGCACTGTTTGTATTGTGAATCCCTGCCAAGAAAGGTGAAGAAAACTAGGGAAAAAGAATCAATAATGCAAAGTGATGAACACACACATAGCTTCTTTTCAATTACATGTTGCTTTCAGATGTAAATCTGCCTCTGCAACACACTAAGCATCATTTTTAAGATGTTGGACTTCTTGAATGAATAGATGGCACTGATTGTTTTACTCCTTTTTTACACTTTACAGTTTTATTCTAAACCAAGATTTTTGGACTTGCAAAGAGGTATTATTGCAATAATGCACTTTTCATACTTGAAATTTCTTTATTTGTATGATATAAAGTTATTACTTTAAACAAAATGCAAGTGGGGGGGATTTGTTTATAAAGTTATTTGTGTAATTTATAACAAGAGACTTTAGTAAAGAAAAAGTTTGCTAAAACTCACCTTGTTCTCAGTATATATTATGGTCAATGCTTGTAGAAGTGTGCTTTATGAACTGCACTGTGCACTGCTACTGGCAATTGAGCAACAGCAGTGATCTAATCAGTATTTAATTCTTTATCTTGTTATAAAACCTCATTATATACTGAATTATTTGAGAGTGACACTGAGACCAGTTTAAGACAAAATACTGTTCTAAAAATCTCTACTTGTTTTATGCAAGTTAACCTTCAGCAGAGTACTGATTAATTACTTAATAAAATAGTCATGTGCTAAATTAATACAGAGGGCAGCTACCAATTTTACACACATCAAGGCTGAATTCTTTCAGCTAGCATTAAAAAGCTGCTTGTTAAATTAGTTACAGGTTCAAGTTAGATGAGTCAGTATGGTCCATCTGTCTACTGGAATAGTGCCTCTTCAAACTGGTATTGGAGGAGTAGTTCCCTTCGTGAGACAACAGTTGCATCATTTGAGGTAAAAACTGGGTTGGTGCTTGCAAACTGGGGCCTGAAGCACTGGCTGTATCAAGACCAAAGGGATTCACCTCCAGCTCTTCTAAAGTGTTAGAGTCAATTAAGGCCATGCACTTGTTGGTGTTTGAAGGATTTCAAATTGGGAATTGCCAAGGCAGTTCATGCAGCTTTTAATTCTTCTCCCTTCTCAGAAGCACCGTGACAAGCACTGGTTGTGTGAGTACAAGCCTCCATTCTGCGTCTCAGCTCTATTTGCCGATCAATCCGTTGCATAAAAGATATGAATGGAATGATGCCTCCTTCAGAGCACTGTGGTGGCTGAGCAAGTTACAAAACTGTTAGAACTTGTGTGTTTGGGAAATGTGAGCTTGTAGACTGTATTTTAACAGGGACTAGGTGGGCTCAAGAGTTGAATCAATATAAAATACATTTGGGGATCTGAGCATCCAGCCATCTCCCTCTGCTCTGATACGGCTGTGTGTGAATGGACAGTGTCCTCCATCAGCCTTGGAATGAGCAACCTGAGGGCAGATAGCTTTGAATTTGCAGGCATGAATCTCAACAGTGCAGCCATTTTGTACTGTGAGAGTCTCTGCTGCTGCTGCCTTTTGCTGGAGGATCCTCCAGCACCTTATTGACTTTGTAGGAGTTCCACCTCACTTTGTGTATTCAAGGCAAGTGGACCATGCCTGTGACTTGCTGATCTTTGCTTAGTCACTGATCCTCTGCCTTGTCTTGCAGCTCCTTGGAAGCCTTGCTGAGGGACAGTCCCTCCCAAGCAGGTCTGAGCTCCTGGCCCCTGTCAAGGCTCTTACAAGTAGTTTGCAAATTCTGGTTTGAACAGATGTTGGTGATGCCTGAGGAGGAAATCCTCCTGCAGTAAGTCAGGGCTTTTGGTTAAGCCAGGACACCTGGGTGAGGCTTTATAGCTGAATAACCTCCTCTTGGGTGGAATGTGAAGGCCCTGGAGTGCTGCCTGTGGGGAGGGTTCACAGCTTCAGCGGAGCCGAAACACTGTCAAGCAGCATTTTCCCTTTCCTGCTGTCTGTCCTTTGCTGCCTACATTGGTTATGGAGCAGCACACATCCTTCAGAAAAAAAATCTTTAAGAAACATATGATGCCTTAGGAAATGTTCAGCTTGAAAAAAAGAAGTGTTATTGTTATCTCCTTAAGAACTACAACTTGTCAGTGTTAGGCTGACCGGCTAAGCATGCAGTGCTGGTTTTGCAGTTGCAGGGTTTATGATGTGCTGTTAACTGGCTCTCTTTAAAAGAACGCTTCTGGGACTGTTGGGAAAGACAGTCTTAGCTGTTTCACCACTTCCCCCCATGGGCTATCCCATGTTTGGGATCTGTCTCTCCTGCGCTGCTCACCAAAAGCTGGCAGCTCCAAGCTTCTGATGAAATGGGGATGGGAACCAGAACTTTGGCATAAAATTCCTTTCCATTTCAGCTCCCTTTGGGAAGGGGTAGAGATGAAACGGAGGGAAGAACACTATTGATTCATCCAACTCTCCTGCCAGAGAGGCTTGTTCATGTGTAGTCTGGTTCTGTTACCTCACTGAGGCCCTGGTGCTTCCCTGGGGAGACTGTTTCACAAACTAACAAGTTTCATGACTACAGATTTTCCACTGATTTTTTTTTTTTTTTAATGCCCTTCCCCCCCCCCCCACACACACACACACTGCTGCTTTCTACAGTCCTTCTGGTCTGGCTGCCTTGCAGATAACAGCTTCTCAGATCCTAAGGGATTCTGAGATTAGTTTTCCTCAGATATCTATTATTAAGCCTCTTCTTTAAAACTTGTTGACACCTGTTCTCATTTAGCTTACTGCCAATAGGTATTTCAATTACTGTTTGCTTTCTGGGATCAAACCAAAGGTGGGAACTGGCAGCAGGAGCCCTTCACTGTGGCCTTGGAGTAGCAGTGGAGGTTGAATTTTCTTGCTTCCCTGGGTTCTGACACAAAGCTGCAGTACCCAGATCCTTGGGGAGACGCAGACCTATGGTAAGGTGCTAAAAAGAGGAAAGGAGCTGGAGATCTCCCCACACAATGAAATCCCATGGAGGTAATCCTAAACCTCAGGAGAAGCTGGTGGTTATGTTAGGAGGTGGCTCTTGTTCAGTTCTGACAAGATTCCTATTCCTTTGCTCCCTGGTCTTGTTCTTTCCTGCCGAGCCAATAAATTACCAGGGTTCTTCAGTTAGGAGATGCATAATGTATTTTAACAGCACCTGTTGCTGTTAAATGTTGTTATTTGTGGCACTTTCCTGGTTACTGCAAACCAGGACAGTTCAAAATACATGTCCCTGTGTACTAGGTGTTCCAGCTGCCTGGAGTGCACCTGAAACCCCACTGGCATTTGTAACTCCCCACTCTGGGTAGTACCAGCTCTACAGCATCTGCCTCCAGGTTGTAAAGTGTGTTTAGTGCCTTGGCTGGCTGATGCTTCCAGGGCCAGTTTCTGCCTGTTCCTCTTATTAAAAGACTGTACAGTGAGCCCAGTCTTCCTTCAGAGGAATAACCAGGTGTGACACAGCAGGTGGCAGTCCTCTCACCACAGAGCTGCTGTACCCACAGTTGGGAATGTCACCTCTGGCACAGAACAAAGAGCTCTTCAAAGCTAAAGGGATGCTGATGAGCTGGATTCTGCCCAGCAAAGGCATTGTCATGCAGCCACAAAACCAAGCTTTCAACCCAATTCATTTGTTTTATGATGATCTAAGCTGGGTGCACAATCACCTGCTCCTCACTTGTACTAATCTTTTCATTAACTCTTAATGAGCGCCTGGAGCTATTTAGATGGTGAAGATATCATGGAATTCAAATAATCCACTTTTTAAAGTAGTGGAAACTCAGAATTAATTACAATTGTGAAAGACAAGAAAAATCCACCTCTGTCAGTATCAGTAGCTGATTTTATACAATCAGTTCAGAGTTGGGGCTCAAGCCTAAGAAAGTGGGGTGCCTAAGCCTAAATGCAGGGACACGAGCCAGTTAGAAACTTCAGCCTGGCTCTGAGAGGTGTTTTCTCAGCAGTCCTGGCAGCCCTGGGCTGGTGTCCTGGTTGGATGCACACCTCTGGGGTCTGTGCCTGCAGGCAAAGGCTCCACCACCACAATGAGCCAAGAATTTCACAGAAGGCATACTTGCAAAGATGCAAGTGTACATCAGACACATGTTTAAAGTCAATATGGAATCTCAAAAACTGTTCTTTTCAGTCTTAAGGAAAGGAAAACCGAGGTATTTGCAGCAGGCGGTACTGTTCTGAAAGACAACACGTACACGCTCACCCTGGATACCTACCGCCAGGCACAGCAATACAACAAATGGATCAGATATATTTGGCAGTCTTCATTTATTCAGCTTAAACAAAGATTTTTTTTTTAAAAAAAATTAATCAATAAATAAAACAGACATCACCAAGGAAACACTATATTGAGTGGAGTACCATCAGGAACATTAAATAGAACCCCCACCACAGCTTAAAGTAGCTCTCCACACCACAACAAAAGAACATTTTGTAAGGCCTAACTGTTCACAAACAAGACTGGCTGTTCTGTACGAACCTTCACCAATTTATAATGCCCTATTCACAGACGTAGGATTTGTCACTCCCTTCGCACAAAACCCTACTGTTGAAACCAGGACTTTGTACATTATTTGCTTGCCGTCACCGGCAAAAGTGCTAAAATTATTTATCCAATCTTATAGTAAGAGGGATGCTCCAAAGCAGCAGCAATCAGGATCAGGGATTTCTGATCTGGGATTTCTCTGCTGGTTTGCTATGCTGAAGGCAGAAGCTGTTACCAGCAAAACCACGGCCCACAGGAGTTTGTGTACAGCCAGTTGGTGAAGCTGAACCACCTTCC